ATTTATATACAATAAATTACACTTAGTGTACAGCTGAATTTTGAAAGGTAATATCCATGTAACTACCATGACAAGATGTAGAACATTTCCATTGATTGAGAGAGTTCCTCATGGCCCTTTTTTTTTAAAGATTTTATTTATTTATTTATGAGACACATGGAGGCAAAGGGAGAAGCAGGCTCCTTGTGGGGACCCTGCTGTGGAACTTGATCCCAGGACCCCAGGATCCAGGGCCCTTTAGAGTTAACCTCTCTTCCACCACACCTGATCCCAGAAAACCAATGATCTGCTTTCTATCATAGATTAGCTTGCATTTCCTGGAATTTCACAATAGGAATCATACAGTATTTATCCATTTGTGTATGGCTCTTTCACTTCGAGTGCTTTGGGCATATAGTTTTATTTCTTTTGGGTATATTCCCAGGAGTAGAATTCTTCAGTTAGTTTATATTTTACCCTATTAGAAACTGCAACCATCAACAGAGGTCCTTTTTACATTACCACAGACGGTATTGGAGAGTTCTAGTTACTCCATAGTCTCACCAACACTTTGTACTGTCAATCTTTTTTTCCCTTCCCCACCCTCAGTATTGTCAATCTTTCTAATTTTAGCTTTTCTATTGCTTGAGTTACAATGTCTCATTGTGGAGTTTTGTTTTGTTTTTTTTAAGTAGGCTACATGACCAACATAGGGCTTGAACTCATGACCCTGAGATCAAGTGTCAGATGCTCTACTGACTGACCCAGGTGCCCCTCTCTGTGGCTTTTTATTTTTTAAAGATTTATTTACTTATTTGAGAGAGAGAGAGAGCATATGGATGCATCTGAGTGGGGAGAGGGGCAGAGGGAAAGAATCTTCAAGCAGACTCCACACTGAGCATGGAGCCTGACATGGAGCTTGATCTCACGACCCACGAGGTCATGACCTGAGCTGAAACTGAGTCAGACACTCAACCGACTGAGCCGTCCAGGCACCCTCTATTGTGGTTTTAATTGACATTTCCATGATAATTAATGATTTTGAGCATCCTTTTTTTGTGCATATTGGCCACTCTTGTATCTTCTTTTTGAAATATCTAGTAAGATTGAAGATTTTTGTTGCATGTTAGTACTTACCTCAAAAAAGCAAATAGGGTTCAGAGGCTGAGGTTCTGAATGTATTGGTTAGAGCAGAGAAATAGCAAGTAACACTGGGATATTGAAGAGGTAAACGTCTGAAGGACTACACACCTAAATAATGTAAAGGTAGAAAAATCTATTGTTTTAAAAAATATGATCTATAAGACAAGATTTTTATTTTTAAAAGATTTTATTTTTTTGAGACAGAGGGTGTTGATGGGGGAGGGGGTGGTGAGAAACAGGACAAGTAGGGGGAGGAGCAGAGGGAGAGGGAGAAGCTGACTCCCTTCTGAACAGGAAGCCCAATGCAACGCTTGATCCCAGGATGCCAGGATCATGACCTGAGCCAAAGGCAGACACTTAATCAACTGAGACACCCAGGTGCCCCATTTACTTTCTTTTCTTTTTCTTTCTTCTTTCTTTCTTTCTTTCTTTCTTTCTTTCTTTCTTTTCTTTTTTAAGATTTGAAAGAGAGAAAGAAAAAGACAAGATTTTTAGAGAGGAGGGACATCTTCTCCATAGTTGAGATGTGACCTTAAGACTTGCTTCAATAGAGAGCCACATAATAACTTAGGGAATTGATGAGAATCAATTAAAAAGAAACCTGAATATAGATTAATGAATAGGTACTTCCAGATTATTCATTTTCATTTCCTTTCAAATATATCTTTATCAACATCTCTTGCTCATCCCACTTCAGATGAAATATAGGATAAGAAAATAGCCACCAAAATTCCCTGGGATATGTAGTTTGTAGCATAGCAAATAGGAAGTCTGGTTTAAATTGTGTGTGTGTGTGTGTGTGTGTGTGTGCACGTGCTTATGCATGTGCCAAAATCTGGGACAACAGCTTAAATATAAAGTGGGTACTGATAATAGGATGATCAACTTTTTAGAGAGGCAAGCTGGGGCATATCATATGAAACAAACAAAAAACTTCCCATAACAATCAATATGATATATAATAATAAACATATGTATTAATATGAAAAGGTTTTATTTGAAATTAAATATTATTGTCTTATTTACTTTTGTCATATCCACACTTTTAAACAAAACTATAGAACTAGTTAAAAGTAGCAAGAATAATTTTAATAGGATTAAATAAAAGTAAAAGAAAATATTAAGTGTTTTTATACAGTTTCTTCCTGTTCTCTGATTCAGCAATTTAACTATTTTTTTAAATTTTTATTTATTTATGATAGTCACACAACACACACACACACACACACACACAGAGGCAGAGACACAGGCAGAGGGAGAAGCAGGCTCCATGCACCGGGAGCCCAATGTGGGATTCGATCCTGGGTCTCCAGGATCGCACCCTGGGCCAAAGGCAGGCGCTAAACCGCTGCGCCACCCAGGGATCCCTATTTTAACTATTTTGAAATTTAAATTTTCTGGTCCATATTACTGCATATATATTTTTAAGTAATTGCTATACCCAGTGTGGGGCTCGAACTCATGACCCAGAGATCAAGTGTTGCATGCTCTACTGAATGCACCAGCCAGGTGCCCCATTATTGTATATTCTTAAAATACAAAGATGTCAGGGGCAGCTGGATGGCTCAGTTTGTTGATCGTCCAACTCTGGGTTTTGGCTCATGATCTCAGGGTCATGAGATTGAGCCCACGTTAGGCTGCATGCTCAGTGTGGAGTCTACTTGAGATCTTCTCTCTCCCTCTACCCCTCCCTCTAAAATAAAGAGAAAAAAGGACATAAAGATGTCAGACTTTTTTTTTTTTTTTGATGTCAGACTTTTTAAGAGAAGAATGGAATTGTAATAGAACCAATTAAGCATATATTACCTGTATACAAGAAAAATTAATTGTATGTTTCCTTCTATCCTTTGGTGTAACAGGATATTTTTACTTATTTCTTTTTTCAATAATACTTCTGAACTAAGATATTATTTTTCTTGTATATTGGTAAAATGGAATATAGGCAAAACAAAATTCCCTTTGACTTGTAGCTCTGCTTACACAGATTCTTGGGTGTCAGCCCAATGTGATGACATCCAATACCTTCTCAACAAAAGCATTTGAGAGTGGAATATACAGCAAGAGCATGTTTTTAGACTTTGTAGATGATGAGCACTTATAAGCAAGAGCAGTTTTTAGACTTGTAGATGATCTTTGGGACCCTGGAATGTCCTCCCTGATAGGAGCATCTTTGTTTGTTTGGGAGCCTTAGCCACCAGACAGTCTAGCACTGTGAGTTATGCTGGGGGATTCAGAACACACCATTATCAGTTATGACCTCTGGAGAAACTGGAGACTAAAGGTAAGAGTTCAAACCTTCAGAATGAGCTAGAGACTAAAGATCAGCTTCAAGGGAAGAATGTAATTGATCCCCAGGAAAAACTCTGGCAACCAAAGGCTCAGGAAAGCTTTCCTATGGGAATTACCCCATGTCATAACCAGGATGAGGTAATGCCATCTCTGACTCCAGGGAGAGGATGACTGGAAGCTCCACATTTGGATCCCTCCTACAGTTTGCCCTATGCATCTCTTTCATTAGCTGATTCTAATTTGTATCTTTTCACTGTAATAAAACTAATCCTAGGTGCACTATTTTCCTGAGCTCTATGAGTTATTCCACTGAATTACTGAAACTAAGAGTGGTCATAAGACCCCTGAATTTGTCAAGAGATCTGTATAAATCATCACAAAAGAAAATTAAAGGAGAACATGTTCAGACCAACAGATTACAAAATGGCTTCTGACAAAATATAGCAGGTATTAAGTTAAATAGGGACTGAATGAAAATAGTTATGTGTAACAAAGGCTATTTACTCTAAATCAAGGGGCATTACACTGTTTACTTTTTTTAAAAAAATATTTTATTTACTTATTCATAGAGACAGAGGCAGAGACACAGGCAGAGGGAGAAGCAGGCATCATACAGAGAGCCTGACGTGGGACTCGATCCACGGTCTCCACGGTCTCCAGGATCACGCCCTGGGCTGCAGGTGGCGCTAAACCGCTGCGCCACCGGGGCTGCCCTACACTAAATGTTTAAATAGATACATGATGGCACGCCTGGGTGGCTCAAAGGTTAAGTGTCTGCCTTCAGCTCAGGGCGTGATCCTGGAGTCCCGGGATCGCGTCCCACATTGGGCTCCCTGCCTGCTTCTCCCTCTGCCTGTGTCTCTGTCTCTCTCTGTGTCTCTCATGAATGAATAAATAAAATCTTAAAAATAAATAAATAAATAGATACATGATTTCCATTAGATTGGAAAAAATGAGAGAAAGGTATCCTCACTAATACTGTATTCTGAAAATACCAGCTACTGGCATGAGAAATGTAAATAAATATAAATATTGCAGGAACTTTTTTTCTACTTGCAAATGCTATGACCACATGGCAGAAAATATAAGACCAGAAATTAAAAGAGTAAGATTATCTGGAAAGTTTGAAAATACATCTAAATTTAAAGTGTCAGCAAACCAAAAAAATGCCATAACACAGTTATAATACAAGTCACCTTGAGAGAAAATAGCTGCAATGTTTATAAATGTGTAATACCTAGAATATTTTACAAGTCATGAATAATCAATGAGATAACCCCAAAGAAACAGAGAAAATGCATGAATGAAAAAAGCACTGTTAAGAGAAACATGATTGGCCAATAAACACATATGAAAAAGATGCTCAACTCACTTGTAATCAGGGAAATTAAATATTGTAACCAATAACAGAAGTCGGAAAATATGGATGCTCATTTCAATGATTAGAGGGATTCAAAATTAGTGCAGTGATGGAGCAACCATCTGGCAATATGTAAAGCTGAAACTATGTACAGCCTATTTCTAGGCTATACTTCTAGATGTGTAACTTAGATTCTTCACTCTTTAAAGAAACCAGAAAATACACAAAATGATATACAATATAGCATTTTTATTACAATGAAAAATTGTTTATGTCCCAATTACTATTTAACAGAATATTTAAGCATGTTTAATATATACATGTGAAGGACCAAGCTAGAATCTTTTACATTCTATAGAAAAGCACTAGCCCTCAAGATTCAAGCAGGAAGCTTCCAGAATATGATGTGAGCTGCAAAGAAAAGTGCCCTTCCTCACCCCCTCCCAACACAATCACTCACCATAATGTCTGAAATGATGTCCTTGACATTCATTGTGGTAATGGAAGCATCTATCAAAGTGGTTCACATTCTAAAGATGGTAAGAGATACTGGGAATGAGAATTCCACAACAAAGTAAGTATGAGATACACTGTGTTTAATAAAAATCTCTTTGCTGTATCTTTTAAGCTGATAATGTGTACTTGGTCTTCCCCATAAGCATACGCTTTGCTGCATTTACACATTTTCCCAAGAAATCTTTTTTCCCCCCAAATATCATCAAGGACTAGTATTCCCCAAAACAAGCTTATGGAAAATGTTGGGTTAAGGCCTTATACTCTGTTAAACACAGGTCTTCTAAAGATATCTGAGACTTGGGAAAGGCAACACATGGATCTATGAGTGAAGACCGACTTTGTAATAAATTCTAAGTATACCTTATTTAGAATTAAGACGAATAGAATCTTCACAAGTGAAGCTGGTCTGGATTTTGCTTTTTAGGAGCTATCTTCATTTAGATTTGTATCAGGATTATTTTAGCTGTGCAGAATTGGTAGAATTTTGTGAAGGATTATTTCTTAAAGCTTTTATCTGTACAACTATCAGTTCTTTTCTTAAGTAGGAAGTTCATATACATACACACATTTGTTTGTTGGTTTAAGTCATATTCCTACAGAAAAAAAAAAAGTAGCCCCCATATATTTTATGGACCGGAACACAGAGAGCACATATATATAGTATTACCTTGTAATTAAAACAAAATTTTCTTGATAATCTGTAGCTAGGTCACTTATCACTGACAAAGTTCTAAATGCATTATTTTTCATTTTCTTTTTCTTGACTAGATCTTTCAAAATTTAATCATTATTAACACTGGATTAAATCCACTACTGTCTAGTCTTTAATTTCTATTTTTAGTTGTGCTTTGCTTCTCTTTTGCAAGCTTTATTTTGTTCTCTTTCTGGTTTCTTGACATACTCATTCCCCTAACACATTCATTTATGTGACAGGCCCTGTGTTGACTGCTGTGGATAAGGTGAGATGAAGACTAGATCCACAAATGAAATTTCCTTAATTCATTAAAGGGGATTGATTTCGGTGACATCTGACAAGTTTAGATACACACATCTCATGAACAATCATTTCTAAGTTGTCTATAAATTTCAGTTTTTATTTTAAACATTTTATTACTGGAACTTTCAAACACATAAGAAAGCTGAAATACTAGAACAATGAATCCCCAAAACCAACCACTCCACGTCAGGAATTATCAACATTCTGCCAATCTACTTTCCAGCTCTCTTTGCCAATTATTTTTCTTTTGTTGGAGTATTTTAATGCAAATCCGGTATTGTACCATTTCGTAAATATATAAGCATGTATCTCTAACACATAGAACATTTTATCTTTAATATCCACACTGATATTATCATCCCTAAAATTAAAATTTCTAAATATCATCTAATACTCAATGCAAGTCCACATTTTCTCCAGTCTCCAAAATGTATTTTTACATTTTGTTTAAACCAGGTCCAAGCAATGCCCATTTACTGAATTTAGCTAATAGGTCTCTTAAGTCTCTTTTAATCTGCTAACAGTTGCCTTTCCCCTTTTCTTTTTCATGCCACTCATTAGTTGAAGAAATCAGGTCATTTGTTTTGTGGAATTTTACACATTAGAATCTGCTTGGCTACTTCCTTGTGGTGCCATTTATTTTGTTCATCTATTCCCCAAATTCTTGTTTTTAAAGAGTTGGACTCAAAGGTTTGCTTCCTTCAGTTCACCGCTTTGGCAATAAGGTTTTGTAGGTAGTGGTGTGTACTTCCTATTACATTTTATCAGGATGTGGATATTGTCTGATAGTCCCACTTTTATGGAAGTTAAAATTAATCAAAGGGCTCAGAGGTTATCAGCTTGATAAATCCACTTTAAAGTTCTCATTATAAAATATTTCACTCGTTTCATTATCCATTGAAGATCGTTTTCCGGACCCATTATTCCATTAGGGAACTAGAAAATGTGATTTTTCTAATCCTATCATTCTTTCTGCATTTACTGGTTATATTTCTTAAAAACAAAACATGGTTTCACTCATATGTGGAATATAAGAAGCAGTGCAGAGGATCATAGGGGAAGGGAGGGAAAAACAGTGGGACGAAATCAGAGAGGGAGGCAAATCATTAGAGACTCAACTTTGGGAAAACAAACTGAGGGTTGCTGGAGGGGAGGAGGGTGAGGGAATGGGGCAACTGGGTTATGGGCATTAAGGAGGGCATGTGATGTGATGAGCACTGGGTGCTATACAAAACTGATAAATTACTGAGCACTACATCTGTAAATAATGATATACACTAGATGTTGGCTAACTGAATTTAAAGAAAAAACAAAAACAAAAAAAGAAAATCTTTTAATTTGATGAGCTTTCTGGTGGCCCTAAAACTTGGTTCACATGGAAAAAACAAAATAAATGCTTATATTTCCCCTTATCAATTTTTAGGATGAGTTGGTGCCCAAGCATCTTTCATTGCTGACCAAACTGTCTCCAGCTGTAACCAAGTAAACTATCAAACTACTAGTGGGGTCATGTCAAAAGACCTAACTCCCACTGATTGAAGATGCGGCAATCTGAACATCAAAGAGTATATTGCCTGTAAATGGCATGACATTATTTCTTTTGTATAAGAGTTTTAAATACATACATACATACACACACACACACATATGCATGCACAAACACACAGAATATTAAATTTCCAAGTGGTTAGTTTCCTTTCTGCCCTCTTTTTAATAGTTCATAATTAATCTTTAACAGTGATCAGACAATAAGGATTGCAAAACATTTACTTTTTGAAATTTATTATGGGAAAATAATTTTGTATTTTTTTGATTCTATAATAGTTGTACTCTTAACCTCACATTCAAGAAATTCATAAGGTTTCTTTTCAGTATGAAATTACTGATGCAGCTCAAATGATGAAGAACTTCTCACATTCAATAGAACCTCCTAGATTTTATCTGGAATAAATTATTTTAAGTTTAGTAAGTGCTGAGCAGTGACATGAGGCATTTCTACATTTACTACTTCTAGAGTAAATTCCTTTCATATGAATTCACTAACACTAATGATAACAATTGTAGATAATATTTACAGGAAACATGCTACGTGGCTATTTGTCCAAGCACTAACTACTTAAGCCTTAAGACAATCCTATTACACAGTATGGCAGGCTGACCCTGAAATGGTCCCTACATTCTGATTCATACTCTTGTGTAACCCCCTACCCTTGAATGTGGGTGACTCAGTAACTTGCTTCTAACCAGTATAAGACAGCAAATGTAACTAAAAGGTGTTATTTTGGTGATTAGATCACATAGGATTATAACTTCTATGATGCTAGTATATCACACTTAATAAGCAGTCATGTTGAAGAAGCCCATGTGGCAAGGAACTAAGGTCAGCCCTACAGCCAACTAGAAACTGCGGACCTCAGCGTGACAGCCAACAACCATGTGAGGTCGGAAATGAATCCCTTCCCCTGGTGAGCCTTCAAATGAGACCCAACCCTGGCTGAAACCTTTAGTTTAGCTTTGTGAGAGACCCTGAAGCAGAGGACCCAACAAAGTTATGCCCAAACGCCTGACCCATAGAAACTGTGAGATAATGTGTATTATTTTAAGCTACTAAGTTAGTGGTAATTTATTACACAGCAATAAATAACTAATATACATAGGTACTATTATCACCATTTTACAAGTGAGCAAAATGAGGCACAGAAGTTTAAGTACCTTGTCCAATAACACATAATAAAGTAGTGAAATGGGGATAATAATAGATAAGGCTAAAGATTTTCCTACATTCATTATATTATTCCCTCACATGAATTTGCTGAAGATAAACAATGTTTGAATGGTGATAGTAGGCTTTTAAAGCAACTTTTTTTCCCAATAATATAAAATTTCTTATGCTTAGTTGAAGCATGAAGCAAATTTCTCTAAAATGAATTTCTGGATATTTTATAACATAATGTACAATTGAAGGCTTTTTTGTATTAAATTCCATTATGAATTTTCTGATGTTGAGTAAGGTGTGAATGTTGTCTAAAGGCCTTCTTACATTCCTTACATTTGTAGGGTTTCTCCCCAGTATGAATTCTCTGGTGTTGAGTAAGGAATGAATAAAGTCTAAAAGCCTTACCACATTCCTTACATTCATAAGGTTTCTCACCAGTATGAATACTCTGATGCTGAGTAAGTTGTGAGAGCAGTCTAAAAGGTTTTCTACATTCCTTACATTCATAAGGTTTCTCACCAGTATGAATACTCTGATGTTGGGTAAGTTGTGAGAGCAATCTAAAGGCCTTCCCACATTCTTCACATTCATAAGGTCTCTCACCAATATGAATGCTTTGATGTGAAATAAGTTGTGAGTAACTACTAAAGGTCTTCCAGCATTCCATGCATTCATAGGGTTTCTCACGAGTATGGATTCTCTGATGGCGAACAAGTTGTTGCCTTAGTCTAAAAGTCTTCCCACATTCCTTACATTCATAGGGTTTCTCGCCAGTATGAATACTCTGATGGACAGTAAGTTGCTGGCATATTCTAAAAGCCTTTCCACATTCCTTACATTCATAAGGTTTCTCACCAAAATGAATTTTTTGATGTACTCTAAGGTCTGGACCACATACAAAGGCTTTCCCACATTCCTTACATTCATAGAGTTTCTCAGCAGTATGAAGTCTCTGATGTCGAGTAAGGTGTGTACACTGCCTAAAGGTCTTCCCACATGCCTTACATTCATAGGGTTTCTCACCAGTGTGAATTCTCTGGTGTCGAGCAAGTTGCTGATGCACTCTGAAGGCCTTTCCACACTCCTTACATTCATAGGGCTTTTCACCAGTATGAAGTCTCTGATGTTGAGTAAGTTCTTGGAGCACTGTAAACGCCTTTCCGCAGTCCTTACATTCATAGGGCTTCTCACCAGTGTGTAGTTTGTGATGTCGAATAAGGTGTGCACGCTGTCTAAATGCCTGCCCACATTCCTTACATTTATAAGGTTTCTCACCAGTATGAATTCTCAGGTGTTGACTAAGTGTTGAACGACGAATAAAGGTCTTCCTACATTCCTTACATTCATACAACTTTTCTCCATTATGAACTCTCTGATATTCAGCAAGAAAATTATGTTTTTTGTAAGTGGTCATTTTCTCAGAAGTAACTTTCACTTGCCCAAAATATCCCTCTTGTCGTTCCTTTTGCCCCTCAATCTTGCCTTTGCATTCCCAATCATTTCTAAAAATGGAGTCCTGAAGACTATAGCTTTTAATTCTTTCCATTATCTCCCACTGGAATGAATATATTTCATAAATGTCCTTTTCTGGAGATAATGTATTGGTCCTGTATCTGGACTCCAAATCTGAAAGAAAATAAGAAGGCAAACACACACTATTTTCCTGTGACAGAAGAAAGAAAACTTCTATAGAGAAATAAAAAGCACCTAAAATCATGTGTCTTACAAGTGAATGGATCAGATACCTCTAAAACAGGCATTTCTGCTATAATACCACAAATGTGTATCTAAAAAACCCCTTATCTTCTGTAAAATTACACACCAAAAAATTAAGAGTTTATGAAGAAACCAGGGCTGGATAAGACTACTCAAACCTATGCAACTTTATTGGCAGAACACTAACAAATATAATAATTGACATTTCAAGAGATAATCTAAAAGGCAGCTCAACATGGCTGAAGGCCATTTCATGGATACTAAAATGCACACACAAAAGAGTAGAAATGCTGGATTTCAAGTGCTGAGACGCTGCAATGAAAAAAAGCCCTAAGTCAGCAAGGCTACCATTAGGGTGGGAATAGGGCAAAATGTAACCTGTTTTCAGCTAGAAGCCAGGCAAGGTTAACAGTATCTCTGGGGAGAGAGTCCTGGATGCAGACATTCAATTATTAATTTTTTTCATATAGAGGTGAAGGGGCATCCAGCAATAAAGCATCAAGTTGAACACATTGCCTTTCCTACTTAATGTTTTAGGTCTACTTCTATCCAGGCTTCATTCAAGAAGGAAAATTACCTGTGAATCAACTAACTCTCAAATTATACTGACATCATTCCCTATTCCATATCACTGTTAAGCTAATTTGTGAGTTATTAATTGTATTATGGAACAGACTGCATTCTCATACATATAAAAAAAATGGCCAAGGAAACACAAGAGAATAGAGTCCAGGACTGGAGGTAAGGTTGGTGATTAGGGAAACAAGTTAAATCAGTGGTAAGAATCACCTGAAGATTTCTTAAAACTAGAGAGAGGTGAGGTAATTAATTAATTTATTTAATTTTTTTTTTTGGCTCATGAGACACACACACACACACACACACACACACACACACAGAGGCAGAGACACAGGCAGAGGGAGAAGCAGGCTCCATGCAGGGAACCTGACGTGGGACTCGATCCCAGGTCTCCAGGATCATGCCCTGGGCTGAAGGCAGTGCTAAACTGCTGAGCTACACAGGCTGCCCAAGAGAGAGGTCATTTTTATTTTATTTTTTTAATAAAAATTTTATTTATTTATTCATGACAGAGAGAGAGAGAGAGGCAGAGGGAGAAGCAGGCTCTGTGCGATTCGATCCGGGGTCTCCAGGATCACACCCTAGACTGAAGGCAGCGCTAAGCTGCTGAGCCACCGGGGATGCCCATGAAAGAGGTAATTTTTAACTGACTGAAACATAATCTATAGGATCAAGTCCTGGGCATGTTTTTGTTTTGTACTTATTTGTATTCTCCAGCAAATGATTCTGATGCTGAACAATATTTGAGTCTCTCTACTTAATGTTTTTAATGATTTCTCTTTTTAATTAGAATCAAAAATAAATACCTCAGCATAAATAAGCTGCTTATCAATTCCTCTCTCATTTACTCTGTTCATGCCAGAAAGGCCTCTTCAGCTCACAAAAGGCACTACCACTATTCGCATTAAATAGCATTGCTGACAAGGTTATACGGTCTTTGAGAAATCCTCTGACTGCATGGTTGGCTTCTCTTCATCTTTAGATCTTTTTTTAATTTTTTTTATTTTATTTATTTATATTTATTTATTTATTTATTTATTTATTTATTTATTTATGATAGTCACAGAGAGAGAGAGAGAGAGAGGCAGAGACACAGGCAGAGGGAGAAGCAGGCTCCATGCACTGGGAGCCCGACGTGGGATTCGATCCCGGGTCTCCAGGATCGCGCCCTGGGCCAAAGGCAGGCGCCAAACCGCTGCGCCACCCAGGGATCCCCATCTTTAGATCTTAATTGAAAATCACTTTCTTCAGAAAAGCTATTCCTGCTGATCCTGTTTAGAACTATTCACTTTATCCCAGCAACCAGCTGCTCTTCTTTTTCCCAATTTTGGAATATTTATTAATTTTCTCATCTGTTAGTTTCTTACCCCTAAGCTTCCCTAGCGACAGAAACAATCCCTAAAGTCCATTTACCATTAGATAACAAACCCCAAATACACAATAGATGTTACTCATTTAATTCCCATAATTACATAATTACTAATGAATATCTGTTTCTAATCTTTTAAAATGTACTACAACAGGGGTGGCTGTCTGGCTCAGTCATTAGACTCTTGATCTCTGGGTTGTGAGTTTGAACCCCACATTGGGAATAGAGTTTACTTTTAAAAAATGTACTACAATGATTTACTTATCTCCACTAGAGTTTATACTATTATTATCAGTGCTACATTTACTCAAATTCGTGTTCCTTCATACCTCCTCTAGGTGCTCCTCCTTCCCATTCCTACATAGCCAAAGGAACATCTGTACCTCCTGCAAAACTATCTCAAATATTTTTCAATAATCCCAGCATTGAAAGGCTTATGAAATCCTGAGCAAAGAGGCATGGGAAGACATTGAGTATAGCAGAATGACTATCAAATACAGAATGGTACTTGGGATCACCTGAGTGTGAAAGAGTAAAAATAAAGGATATGTTGTTGGATCTAGGCTCAAAGATAGTGATCCAGATGGGGAACCTGCATGAGAAAATCTAAATGCTGAATGAAGTAATAAGCAAAGATATGGGAAGAAGTGGGATAGGAGAGATAAGAAAGGTCTTTTCTAGGACTACAGTCCTAGAAATGTATAAAACTGCTGAAATGACTCAAAGTCTCATTATGAAACAGAAGGAGGAATAAAATATTAAAAAAACAAGCGACATCTTCACACTTCAAATTTTTATCTATTCATGAGAGACAGAGAGAGAGAGAGAGGCAGAGACACAGGCAGAGGAAGAAGCAGGCTCCAGGCAGGGAGCCTGACGTGGGACTCGATCCTGGGTCTCCAGGATCAGGCCCTGGGCTGAAGGTGGCGCTAAACTGCTGAGCCACCGGAGCTGCCCAACGCACTTCAAATTTTTAAAACTCTTTATTAAATAAAGAAAATTGTAGACTATCTAGAAAATAATATTGAAAACACTAGATTACCAAGAATCTACAAAATACAGTGCAGATCTTATAAGAAAATTCATCAATACATTTAAATTCCTAGAGCAAAGAAATGAAAGAAAAGAAATATGATTTAGAAAGTTAGAAAAAAAAAAATATATATATATATACTGAAGAATCCAGAGAGGGAAATAAAAGCAAAACGTCATTAATTAGATAACAGAAAAAGAATGAAATACACAAGTTTTAAAAACCTAGGTTGTTTGAAAAAAGTCAGTGATATATATATTTGTATGTATGTGTGTATTTTTTTAAGTAGACTCCATACCTGGCATACAGCCTAATGTGGGGCTTGAACTCATGACCCTGAGATCAAAATCTAAGCTGAGATCGAGTTGGACACTTAACCAACTCAGCCACCCAGGTGCTCCAATCAGTGAAACATATTAATCATTTGCAAAGATAATTAGGAAAAAAGGAAAGCATTCAAAGTTAAAAATAGCAACTAGGTATTCAGAAAGAACTCACTATGGGTCTCTCACAATTTTACACATCAGGCAAGCAGAAGTATTGACTACCTTTGTTCTGGATTATCTTTTCAAGAATGTTTGTATAACTGACAATGTGGGAAGGTACAGATAGTATCTCTCTCTAGTTCAACAGGCAGGTTTGCTAATGGTTCAATATAATAAAGGTAGGATCTTCTTTGGAGCAAAGGTCCCTCATGCTCATTGCCCATCATAAAGATTTGGGTTCTCTAAGTTCAGGGTTCCTCTCTTACAGTGCAGCTCAATGCATATTCAGGTATCTATCTAGATACATCCACATCCCCCGCCATGGAATTTGTGGGCAAACAGGAATGAAGTAAATATGTTAATGTTCATGCCATTTGTTGTGCCGTTTTATTGTTGAGCAATAAAATCCTTTGTCTTTGGTTTAGAAGTCATATGCTTTTGCCAGCATCCATAACACTGCAGCAGGTTAACCTGTTAGCATGCAGGTAGAGGCAAAACTGCAGATCTTTCACAGTTCTTGACATTAACAAGTAATTAACAAAACATAATTATTATGAAAATGGTAAAGAACAACTATGCCAATGAAGGGTAATTCTCTAAGAAAATATAGGGAAATTAATCAAAGACCTACTCTTAAAAATTATTCTGAAGATTATCAAAACTTTAGAAAGCATATAGCCCAATTATAAAGTGGCCCAGACCATTTACAAAAAAGAAAAAATTCGGGCAGCCCCAGTGGCTTAGTGGATTAGTGCCGTTTTCGGCCCGGGATGTGATCCTGGCGACCCGGGATCCGGTCCCACGTCGCGCTCCCTGCATGGAGACTGCTTCTCCCTCTGCCTATGTCTCTGCCTCTCTCTCTGTGTCTCTCATGAATAAATAAATAAAATCTTTAAAAAAAAAAAGAAAGAAAGAAAGAAAGAAAGAAAGAAAGAAAGAAAGAAAGAAGAAAGAATTCCAAGTTAAAGTGAGTTAAAAATGAAACCAAAACCTAGTAAAGGAAAACTCTATCATTTATGAAAATTCATGCAAAAACTCCTATAACACACTGAATCAAAATACATCATAACTAACTGTAGTCTATTTCAGGAATGCAAGGGGAGTTCAATGTTAGGAAATCTACTAAAATAATTTATCTATTCATTTATTCATTATTCTAAAGATAAAAATCTTATAATTATTTTTATAGACACTGGAAAGACATCTGACATAATTCAGCACTCATTTCTTATTTTTAAAGAAGCAAATGGGGGAACTTGGGTGGCTCGGTCAGTTAAGCATCTGACTCCTGATTTCGGCTCAGGTCATGATCTCAGGATTGTGAGATCAACCACATGTCAGGATCTGCACTGGGCATGAAGCCTGCTTAAGATTCTACCTCTCTGGGGTACCTGGGTGGCTCAGCGGTTGGGTGTCTGCCTTTGGCTTGGGTTGTGGTCCCGGA